CCTGGGTACCATATGCACCACTGGGTACACCCTCATTGGTGAATAGTTGATAGACCTGCAGCTTTCATTTGAACCAAGAGCTTTGTGGAAATTTTCTGAGACCCAGATGGTACTCGGCCATAACCTGGATGGTACTCGGCCATAACCTGGATGGTACTCGGCCATAACCTGGATGGTACTCGGACATAACATTTATCCCAATAGTTCTCCTAAGAATGTGCAGCTGGGTAATGATTTTAGTTCTAGGAACCACAGGACAGCAGCTTTGGACCCGTAGAAAAGAACCAGGCAGGTCATTGACAGCAGGAACGTTCAGTTTTTTGACCCGTTAAATGGTGTTATGGAGATTTCCATAAACATAAAAATAGATAAAACTTCAATGAAAAATAAGGAATCAAGAAAAAGTCTAATGAATAAAACATCAAGCATCCTGACTGTAGCCAAATACCAAATAATCAGATTAAAACCAATCCATGATGTCGTTCTTCTCCAGATCGCTGGACGATACTCTGCAGATTTTTGTGTTGACTTTTGTAAGCAGGAGACGATAATGCACGTTGTTCTAAATGCAAACATGGATGTTGCACCTGTGGGGGCTCTGTGGACCATGTGGCGCTGTTAATCTGACAGCAGATCAGTTTAAGTGAATGGATGCTCAGATTGTTTTACATGCCGCTCAGTCTGCTGCCACAGCTGTACTCTGGAAGAAGCCGCCTCGGATTGTGGGATTAAATAAATGGACGGAACAATCTCAGTTAAGTGCCGCATCAAATGTAAAACCTTGATCATTATGTTAATGTTGCAGGGAGCAGGTCAGAACCCGGCTCACATCCAGGACAGTATGGACTCACATCATCCCTGCATCACATGGGCACTGCTGTCTAACTCTGAAGAAGCCAGCGCTGCTATATTTACCTGACAGTTTTCCAATGGTTGGGAAATATTGGGAACATGATCATATCCATTAACCCCCCCCCCCCAATATTAGAAGGATATCAGCAACCGATAATAACCTGTAGGGGACTTTTAGTACATTTAGTATTTAATCAATCCAAAGTATTAAATTAAAACTAAAAGAGATCTCCTGGTATGAGTATATTTATAATAATGGATTTCTAATTAGCTTATTTCAATTCTTAAAAGTCCTATATCGTTTATTTCAAAATCACCTGTATGCAAGAATGTATATATATATATATATATTATATTTCCTATAGTACTGCATATTATAATGAATATGCTTGTTTTTCTCTGTTGTCTGAATGCTGCAACTCACCGCATTGCAACACTTCTGTTGGCTGAACAAAGTTAAAAGCATTTAATGCTGAGATCCACATCATTCAGACTGAGCTATAGGCTGCGGTTCTTGTTTTCTCTCATGCTGACAGCGGCTGCCGTACCTCCCGCTCTCTCCTGAAACAGGTTTGCCTCTAGGCTGTGTAGAAGGTCCTTCTCATTTCACAGCTTAGGTAATGGTGAGAGTTTGTAAGGTAGATGGTGACAGAGTTGGTGTGGAGACACTCTGACACAGAGATAGGGAATCTCCTGAGTATCTGGTAATTCACTGGATTAAAAAACCGGATCGGAAGACTGGTTCCAGGATTCCCAGGGTTTGCTGCTGGAGGCCTTAGAGAGAACGCAGAGCAGACCCTCAGAGGTCATCATCAGTCAAAGATGAGAGATTTAAGGGTTTGCTGTGGAACTAGAGGAACATTAAGAGGATCTGTTCATAAAACTCCATGTTTGTGTTTGTGGTGAAGGACAGAAAAGCCTTTTTTCTTCATATCAATCACATCTTAATAGAGTCTAATCAGTCTTCTGCAAACTTGGTGATCCAGGATGAAAGTTCTTGCTGCAGTTCTTTACATCTTTGGGGATGTTTTCCCTCTCAGATGATCATCCTGATGCTGTAGGAGATAAGATTAGATTCTGGTTCTGAGTGTAAATATGGACAGGACAGGCCTGCAGTTTTCCTGCAGCCATTAGAACACATTTATCTTACTTTAATTATTGTCGTTCTTGTTTCAAAAGGTAGAAGAGAATTTGGCATCTGTACCACCTCAGATAAAGAGGATATCATGTAATGTCTAATATGGAGTGTTGCATCACCACTTAAACAGATGAGCGCTAATAAAATGCTTCAGTAAGATTAATTCAATCAGAATTGCTCCAAAGATCTGGGTAGATGTCTCCACTCTAGGATTATAATCCCAGTGTTTAGATCAGGAATGAATGAATGATGACACAGACAAGATGAAGAGGTTTATTTTTGCTTTGATGAGAATCGAAGGGGTTGAACAGAAGCAGCAATGAGGACATGTGGAGCTTCTCTGTCCTACCAGAGCTTTCTTCTTCATGCACTCCATCACCATGAGGTAGATCTGCTGAGCCTGACTGCGGCTGTAGTTGAAGGTTTTCTGGATGGTGACCAGCAGCTGATCTTTAACACTCTCGTTCACCAACCTGCTGGAGCAGAACACGATGTTGAGGAGAAATGAAGAAAGTGAGAGAACATCCTGAGTTAAAGAAAGAGAAGTTCTCACCCGTCCTCCTCGCAGTATCTATGAGCAAAGGAGATGATGTCGGAGGCTCGGCCGCTTCCGTCACAAACCACGACTGGGACAGGAGGCTCCTCTTTCAGACTTTCCATCACAATGGAGATGACGTTTGGACCCCCCTCTAGGATCAGACAGACCACCGGGACCCCCTGACCCAAACCTGATAACAGAACATGTTGCCTGTCAGAACGACACAGTCAAATCTCAAACCTACTCAAACTGTCAATACTTTTTAAAGGGATCATAGAATGCAGAGTTTCCACTGTCATAGATGAATAACGATAGTTCAGGGGTCAAAATGGACGTACAGAGAAGTTCAAACCCCATCAACTCCTCCTTTCTCTGCTAATCTCACTATTCTAAACTTCCACCATAAAACAGGTGAATCCAAACGAAGCAACGAATTGACATAAACTCTGGGATGTTGCCTTATTTGGTTCTGGCCTGTAATTTTATCACGCCCTGAAATTAGCATCCAGACCAGCCCACTGGTTCACGGCCCCAGAACATGAATAGAGGAAGATGGAAGACAGCAGCTTAGCTGTTTAGCCTAAAGTTGGGTTTACTGCTACAAGAAATACAAAGCAGGACGTTTCTCTGTTGAAGATGAACCAGAACCGCAGGAGGAAATGTAGCGTTCCAGGCTGACCGGAGGAAGGGGAACATTTTTCATAGTCTTCCCAAGGATCTGAAGACTCAACTGGCATGGATGATGAGGTTCGAGTGTACGGTGTGTTTCAACTACAGGCTGCACTGTAGGCGTCCAAAATCCCGGATGACTTTGAAATTCCCTTAGAACATTTTTTTAGGTGTGAAAAGTAGGACATGTCCGGGAAAAAGAGGACGTCTGGTCCCCCTACCATACCAACAATCTGATATTTCAGTGAGTGAGTGCTTGTTGCTATGATGCGTCTTTGCTCAGCA